TAATTTTAATAGTTTGGCGGAAAACAATTTCACTATTTTTTTTTATTTAATTCATAAGTAACAACACTTATATTTTGGAATCGATTCTATAATTAAAACAAACTTTTTTATTTATATCTAGTTTACAACATTTTGGCGACTTATTTTAGAAAAATATTCTTTTTCTTTTTGCATAAAAATATGATTGCTGTTGTATGAATTTTTACTAGGAAAAGAAAATATAATAAATATAACACTTAGAAAAGAATATCATATATTGAAGACATTTATATTAAGTATGTTTTCGTTTAAAATGCGAAAATCATTTTCATACATTACCTTATGAAATAATTTATGTTTTCCTGAAAATATTTACAAAGCTTAGACCAACTAACGCGTTCTTTCTTAACCATTGCTTCATTAACTTTTCACTTTTAATTATTGCTAAGAAATAATAACTACATTAGGAGATGTGGCATCTAACTTGCCAGTACCTACAGTTTTTTTTTCTTTTCTTCAATGGCAACCGAGTTTCCAATATAATGTTGTCGACTATAGTACCTACAGTTCTCAGAAAGTAAACTTGATAAAAACTAAGTTTCGGCCGATGTTAAAAAAATGACAGATATTTTATGGATTTTTTATTAAATGAAAACGATCCTATTTTTGGTTTTGAGTTAAAATCGTGTTTATTTTTTCGAATGTTTGCGGACTTGTTTTTTCAATAGTCAGATAAATGTTATCTGAGGAATAAAATTGTTGCTGTCACTGTCTTTTACAAACATTCTGACGCGACAGCATCATAATTATTCCCCAGGTAACTTTTATCTAACCATTGAAAAATCAGCCCTGAATCGTACGTGTACTCTGTAGATGTATGAATAAGTTCTATGTTAAGGGAAAATTCAATATTTTGAGATGGCTTATGACATATTTTGAATTTTATTTTTTGCATGCTAAAGCTGAAAATCTATTATACAGATTTGACAGTATGGGGTAGCTTGAAATGCTTAGTAATAAATACCAACTTGCTCTAAAATAACATTAAAATTATTAAAAAAATCACTACTATGTCTCATCCTGTCTCATCACACAGAAGTAAATAAGTCTAATCTATTTAACAATTATTAATATGTGCGATATACTTCAACTACTAAATAATAAATACTATGATCGAATGTGGGCTTCTATTTTTTACTTACTAGATGGCGCCAGCGTTTACCTCTGGTTCCACCATTGGACGAATAATTTTTGACAGTTACGACGGTGGCATGGGCACTGGATCGCTCAATTCCCTATAATATGGTTGAGTTGGGCGATCGTTTCTTTCCCACTCTTGTCTTTGAATTCCTTTAGCTGACAAAGGCTGTCGCCTCTCGTCATTCTTTTTTTTATGGAATAGGAGGCAAACGAACTGAATCACCTGGTGGTTAAAAAAGGAGTACGCTCGTTTCTTTATGGTTTGAAGGTCGTATGGGTTAGAGAATACCACCACCAAATGATCATTCATTCATTAAAGTCCATTCGCTCTATAAAACGAATTTTAAAAGCAGTGTAACTACGCTTTCATATCTCTCGCTAGCTCCACCGAAAGATCATCCCAAAGTCCAGCTATATGAAACGAATTATAAAAAGCAGTGTAACTATACGCATCAATTTCTCTCGCTACCTAATCACGTGCGCATCAGACTTAACATTTATATTCCAACTCATACATCTTTACTTCACTTTACTCATTCTTTTAATTTTTTGGCACAAACAAATTTTTTGTACATGTATTTCTAGTGGGACTGTATTGTGAAAAAAGTATTTAATAAAAAAATAAAAGGATGAATAAAAAGCAACTTAATTTTCCTGCACCAAGCGTAATTGTCTATGCCAATAAAAAACCAAAACCATACATAAAAAAAGGAAAGAACCAAAAATAAAACAAAAAAGGGGTAATGTAATGTATAATATTTATTTATTAATCTTGTAATTATAAGGATTTCTGTATAAATCAAAAACCGCTGTAATAATATCACAACTCTCAGCGGTTAGGAACGAGCCCGCTATAGCCATAGCCTCTTTAATACCTCCTAGTCCTTCCACACTCAAATTAACTTCACTTTCACTATAATTTTAATAAAACGACATATTTTGTGAATCGTTATTCCATAGATAACTTATTATGTTTGTGAACATATAAAAAAAAATACGTATTATTAATTTGATTGACTCCAGACATTCGCGAGACAGAAAACGAAAAATACATCCGATAATTTATTTAATTCGTCAGACCCCAAGCGAACGCCTGCGCTCGCGCACATATTATTGTTCTTCTATTGTGTGTCCAACTACCATGATTGAAAAAGGTATTAAAGTTAAAAATCAATTTAATTGTTAACTTTGCCACCGACTTTTATCGTTATTCTTGTCGAGATTTCCAACCTGTTAACATTTTTGTTTTTCTTTTTACAGATAGAGTTATTTTATCTAACTTTCAGCCTTTTGAAAAGTACCAAGAGGTATGTGAAAAGTATTTATGAACAAAATACTTTTTTTTTTTTTTTTTTTTGTCAGGGGAAAATCATCCAATGACTTCTCCCGCCCAGGGTAAGGCGAGAGAGAGTGTCAGACTCTTACTGACTAAAAACCCCCCCGTTCCTTCTCCTGCTCTGGGCCGAGGTCGCGGTGCCTCATTGCGCTTACCCCGCAGCCCCGGCTAAACATCAGCCCTTTAGGGCCCCGACTGTGGTGGTCTATTGGCTCTTTGAGGCGCGCGCGGAACGCTACGCGCCGTACGCTCGGGTCCAGTTCTGGTCGGGCGGCGAGCTACCCTTGCTCGCCGTCCGCAGACCCGCGCTTACGGTGGCCGGAGATCATCCCTCGATCCCCGACGTCCGGAATGTCGCCTTCTGCGGCGGCTGGGGCGCGAGGAGGATAGTTCCCTCACGCGCTCCGCCTCCTCCTTTGCGAGCATAACTGCTTCGCAGAAGGAGGAGATAGCTTCCCAGTTCCTCTCACGCTGCACCATGGCCTCGATTAAGGCCGGGCGCGAGAGGTCGCCGCCGCCGATCACTTCCCTGAGAACACGGCGGTGCTCAGCCCAAGCAGGGCACTCCGCCACCGTATGCTCCACCGTGTCCTCCAGGTGATCCTCACAATGACGACACTCGGGCGTTTCCTCCCGCTGGATCCGAAACAGGAACCTACCAAAGCTGCCGTGCCCGGTAAGCACCTGCGTCAGGCGGAAGGTGAGGACGCCGTGGCGTCTCTCAAGCCACTCCTCAAAGAGGGGTCTTACCGCTGCTATAGTAGCGTGCCCGGCCCTCAGTTGCGACAGTCGCTGCTTCCACTCAGCCATGAGATCTCGCCGGAGCTCATTCCGCCACGCACTAATTTGGCGCGGCAGAGGATCCTCGCCCCGGCGACGCGCGTCTGCGCGCAAACTGTAGACGCGCGCGAGCGCCTTCGCTTCCAGATCCCATGGCGGTGATCCGGCAAGGAGGTTCGCCGCCTCCCCGGAGATCGTGCGATATCCGCGGATTATTCGGATAGCCATGACCCTCTGGGACGCGACCAGCGTACGAGCCGGCCGCCGCTTCAAATCCGGCGCCCACACAGGGGCACCGTAGAGGGCCATGGATCGCACAATCCCCATGTACAACCTCCGGCAGGAGGCGTTTGGCCCCCCGAGGTTGGGAAGGAGCCGCTTGAGCGCGGCCCCAGACCGTTCCAACTTAGGAGCCAAACGACGAAAATGCTCCGTGAAATTCCATCGGCTGTCGAGGACGAGACCCAGGTACTTCATCGCCGACTCGACGCCGATGGTAACTCCTCCTGCCATTATTTGGGACCCATCTGGAGGTGGCGCGTTCCGACGGCCATAAAAACACATGGCCTCGGATTTGTGAAGCGCCACCTCGAGTCCCAACTGCCGGATCCTTGCAACGACTGTCGCGACCGCTTGCGACATCAGGTCGGCCGCCGCCTGATGTGACCTCCCATTCGCCAGCACCAGCGTGTCGTCAGCATAACAAACAATGCTGACGCCGCTCGGGAGGTCGGTGCGTAGCACCCAATCGTACCCGATGTTCCACAGGAGAGGTCCCAGGACCGATCCCTGTGGAACACCGCGCGACACCTCTCGCCGATTCCACACACCCCGGTGACCGGGGTAGATGACGCATGAACAAAATACTTGCCATTATTACAAGTTACTTATTCAATTATAATAAATAATACGTACACAAACATAAACACAAAATAAAAAATATATCACTGATAAATAAAACTAATGTTCCTAAACAACAATTCACAAAATACATCGCCATAGCAATAGTACGTATATGTTCTTAACAAAAAAAAAAATAACAGAAAATGGAAATTATTAAAAAAACTATGTGAGCACGACGTAATGAGATCTTAATAAATAAATACAGGTGTTCAAACAAAAAGACTACTTATCAAATCAAAGGTTTTAAATAACGCGCCAAACTCTATGGCTCCATCTCAACTGACATTGACAACTAATAATAAACGTCAGATTACGCGCCAAAACAAAGTAGACATTTTAAATTTATTTTGCCTAAAAATTTCGTGTCGTGCATCATACAATATTAAAATTATTACATATTTAAACAACTTTTTCTCGTCTTATTATCCATACATTTAATTTAGAATTTACAATAAAAAAGCATTTGGCATAAAGGGAATAACAATAAAATGTTTACGTGTAACTTTAGGTATCTTAATTACATACAATAATGAAATAATTAAGGCAATACTAACGCGTGGAATAAGCTCTTACTCCGAAAAATAAAGGAGAAGATTCAAATATATTTTTATATACTTTATACAAACAAGTATTTAGTCGAATAGTCCGTATACTCGTTAGTTAGTCGATTAATCGACTACGTTGGGTAGAAACCCCACTTTTACGATATTTCTTCACGTTTTTATCCAAGTCTTATTATTAACTTCAAAGTTCAAAATTTATTTAAATTTTTTGTGTCAAATTTATAGTTTTTTTTTTTTTTACTTTTATTTTCTTGGAAATACTTCGAAATAGTTCTTAAAGCCTCGAAGAAATAAATAACGAGTTCGTTACCACTGTATCACATCACTGTTCACTGCGTTTGTACTGAAGTATCACCGTTTTTTGTAACGTTATTGGCCGTTGTTTGGACAGTTTTTTTTAATTTACTTGTTCACTTCACCCTTGAGTGCCCGCTCGAGGACGACTTTCGATGCTATTTCCACTGTGACCGTGTTGCTGATTGTGGAAAGTTGTCCCTGGTCGTTTTGACCAGTGATCTCTGTTAATGGCTCGGTCAGGATGCGCAGGGACGAGACCTTCGCTCGCTGGTAAGCGCTCACAGTGTTCATGCCAAGGAATCTGAAATAGATAATTGTACTATTTATAAGGAGATTTGATCTATACTTAATATTATAAAGCTGAAGACTTTGTTAAGGAAGTACTGGGTCGAATTGAAAAAATATTTTTGTTTTTAATAAACAAGTTGTCGAGGAAGGTTTTAGACTACTTATAAACATCGCGCTGCGATAAAAACGCGCGAGAGCAATGGAAGAAAAAATGGAAATACGCGTAAAGGCGTGAAAATATGTGAAAGAAATTGACAAACAACAAAGTAAAAGTACAAAATAAAAAGAAGTCAGATTCACTTAAAAAAGTGAAATCGAAAAGTTCAACTGATTCAATTTTAATTAATTATATATAATATTAGATATTTATTAGTTTCGAAATACCCATAATCTAAAAAGCACTCGAAACTGCACCGTCATTGCGGAGCTGTCTCGCTGATTGCTTACATATCCAAATCCTTAAATATCCGAAACCCTTATTCCGAAAAGGCCGGCCACTCACTCTTAACACCTTTGGTGTTACGGGTATTCATGGGCGACGCTGATTGCTTACCATCAGGTAATCCGTTTGCTCGTTCGCTTTACTTACACTTTACTTTAAAGGAAGAAGAAGAAAGAGAGAGAAGACGATTGTTACCTGATGGCGACGTAGCAGACGAGCAGCGCGGCGCCGGCGGCGAGCACGCGCGCGACGGGCGAGGCGGCGAGCTGCACGCAGACCCAGGCCGCCGCGCCCGCCGCGCACATGCACGCCACCGCCAGCGCCGTGCGCGCCCAGTGCGCCACCGTGAACCCACGCTCCCATACCACCCTGTACACAAACATTACTCTTAATAGAAATACATTTCAATAGTCTTATCGAAATAGGAACAGCGGCCTATTCAAAAAGAAGCCATAACTTAGGTCTGTTCAAAAAGAGGCCATAACCTATTCTATTCAAAAAGAGGCTATAACATTATATCTATTCAAAAAGAAACTCAGTTTTTTTAAAGGCTATACCTATTATAATGTAATATTTTTCTTTTGTAATTTAACTAAATAATAGTTGCATTCTCTTAAATTTTAGTTTGTATGTAATAAATTGGGATATATAAATTAAGAAATGGTAGAATGTATTGGAACTCCTATGTATAATTTTATCATCTTATTTTATACCCAAATTCATTGCAAAATAAAGAAAGACACTTTTGCCAAACAATAAAGTTATAATCTATTGACAGCTTCATATCGTTCACATCATCGTTATAAAGATCAATTTAGTTATTTTTGTAGTTTTAAAATGGATGATAAAAAAGTGATAAAAATATCAAAGTATAAATAATTGTACAACATTTTTATTGTAACTTTCGTGGGACATTTAACTGTAAAATGTTTGCTTTAAGTATAAAAATAACCTAATTATTTTTTGAAAGTGCAAGCAGTATGAAGGAACCTTATAATTTCCAATTATAGGTTAGAATTTATTAATGCGCCTTGAGGAAGCGTGGTGATGCACAAACCTTTTCCTTGTGAGAAGAGGCCTTAGCTCAGCAGTGGGCACTTATAGGCTGATGATGATGACGATGTGATGATGATGAAAGTTATAAAATTGGACAAACCTGTTAGTCTCCTGTACGATGTATGGTGTGTTGCACACTTTGCACTTCAGTCCATCAGGACTGGCCGCACTCTGTAAGCAGACAAATAATTTTTATTAATGTTGATTCCACTACCTTACTGCTTATCTATCTAAATTTGGAAGAGCCATGCTCGGCACGAATAAGTCAGCTCGACCGGACTGATACCACGGCATCACAGAAAATCGGCGTGAAACAACCACAGCATTGTGTTTCGCCGTGTGAGCGAGGTTATCGGAGGCCCAATCCCTTCCTACATTCCTTCCCAATCCTTAAATATCCGAAACCCTTATTCCAAAAAGGCCGGCCACTCACTCTTAACTCCTTCGGTGTTACGGGTATTCATGGGCGGCGCTGATTGCTTACCATCAGGTAATCCTTCGGCTCGTTGGCCAAACTATTCCATAAAAAATGGCCAACGTGAAAATTTAGAGACTATTCAAAAGTGTAAAAGTGTATAAGTTACCTCAACCAGCCAGCGACTGAGGCAGTCGTGGTGCACGGCAGACACGTCGCCAGTACAGCGGCAGGGCCGGATCAGCGGCTCCGAGCGCGAGCTGTCGTAGCATATCCAGCAGTCACGGGCCGACCCCACGCTGCCCACTAGCGAGTCCGTCTCCACATTTTGCTGTAAAAGTTATTTTATTTGTTAATATTTTATTCTTTTTCACATGTTTTTTGGTCTTATGCTATTTTTTCTATACATATATACTAAAAGAAATCTTTAGTCGACACAAGTTATATGGGAAAGTTCTAGTTAATTAGAATTGAAATACCTCCCTAACAATGGGAAAAATAAATTGTTTTGTTTTGAGTGTCATATGTACATCGCATTTCATTTATTAAATTTCCTTAAAGCTGCTTTTGTGACATCCTGATTAACAGACCACTTATAAAATAAACCTTAAGTCTACAAAAATAACAATCAAATTCGCTTAACAACAGAATACGACAAACCATAACTCACCCGCTTAGCAGGGGATCTAGCAGGCAAGTCCAAAACAGTATCACTTGCATCTTCGGCACTGTCTCTAAGAGCTAATTGTGGTCGGAACACATTCAGAATAGTCCTCGCTACAAGACATCGGCACAAAGACACCACTCTCACGACCAACTGAGCTCTCTCCATCCAAGACATACGGTGTTTTTCCACCAAATTCTGAGAAAAAACCAACTGGTTTGAAGGAACCTGAATGATGTGCGCAAACTCCATTCCCAAATGTGTTTAACGAAAACATTGATGAAGCAATATATAGCTAAGGACGTGTTCTCGACAAAAAAATGAGCAAATTTTAACACTCTGTACATATTAATAACGATTAATGTGATTTTCTTTTCAACATTTTGTTCTTTGACTATGATAATCATAGCCAAAAGTTCATTGATTAAGACAAAAATCTCATTAATCCTTATAAACACAAAAGTGTTAAATTAAAAACGCCAATGCATCAACGTTGAAGGAGAGATTTGCATTCTCCAAGACAAATAAATATGTACAATGATATATAAGACAGTAGGTATAAAGTATACAACTCTGTCTTTAATTCGAATATCACACAAAAGCATAGCATAAAAAGCTTGAAGACCGTTCGATACCACAATGAATCAATGAATAATAATATATAAAAATACAGATCATAAATAAGACACAACGGATTTCGTTTCTCACGAATTTTCCGGCATACAAACAAGTGACGAAAAGGCCAGGTGCCAAAATAACAATATTGTTATTAAAAAAAATGACAATAAATAAACAATAACAATTCAGTGCTGTGACGTGATAGAATAATTCAACAAACCTGAAATCTATCTACCTAAGTTAAAATACCTTAATTAAATCATAAATTATTACCATTAACTTTTGATAGAATTATCCAAAATTTAAAATGATGTTCGCTGCGCCGTACGTGACAAACCCGACTTTTAATTAGAGTTATCTCCCAAAAAGTTATATGTATCATCAATCATTAAACATCCAAACTAATATTATAAATGCGAAAGTAACTCTGCCTATCTGTCTGTCTGTCTTTTCTTCACGCCTAAACTACTGAACCCTTTAGTGTAGAATTTGGTACAGATATAGTTTGGAACCGAGAAATGACATAAGATAGTTTTTGTAACCAAAAATCTGCGACTTCGCGGGCAAAAGCTAGTATTTAATAAACTTAATTTAAGAAAATAACTATTACTTTCCAGTTATTCAAAGTCACCTTTAGATTAGATTTGATCTCACTTGATCTTGATCAGGGCCGAACGCAAGACTTCAAACAGCAGCATCACAACTAATATCACCACTCAGATATATTAACTAAATTAACTACCTACGGCTTACTAACGTAAATTTTTCGAGAATATTGCTCGTCTAATTTCAATGTAAGTATGATTCCTATCCGTGGCTTGAAACTAGACGAACAATCTTAACTAACAGTAACATAAATAAGCGTTTAATAATTAATGTCCCATAACATTTAAGCGATAAAAGGGCATTTTAAATACTACAACAATACCTAATTGACTAGTTCTACGCATATCAGATGTGAATGACCGACATTTCGCGCCTTCGTGAAGTTATCACGAATAATATAATTATTACAGTAATTAGCTCTGTTTATCATTAATTCATCACTTTCTCTTTGTTCCCTGTTCTGTGTTATACTTTAGGACCATACAGTAGTCGTTATTGTTGTCCTGTCATGTTTTAATCTTAGCGTAACAGAAGGCAAAACATTGGGTGTTTTACTCAGAGTTAATAAATTATTTCGATATATTCGATTATCGACACGTTGCGCGACAACCTGTGCAGCGTGGTGCCCACTTTAGGGAAGTAATATAAAGTGTTAGTGTTTTGCTGATCCGAAGTAAAATTTAAAAAAAAACTTAATAAAAAATATGCATATGCACAGAGCACAGTTCTGAGGGTTTGCACCAGGAGAGGCAAGAGACTCCAACTTCAGACCTTGGCGCCCCCCCAGAATTGGTCGCCCTTGGCCATCGCCCATGCCATGAAAAATGTGGTGATTAATGCTCATCTCTTATAGTGGTGAGAAGAGACACTAGACATTTGCTAATCAATTGACACAATATACTGTTAATAAGAACTTTTTGGTTTCTCGGCTGGCATAACATTGAATACGTTACGACGTTATTAATAATATTGATTCAAAGAACGTACTCATCAAATCATAAAACATGAAATGAAATAAAATTCCATTGTTTCCATAGCTAACAAATAAGTAATTGTGGTTATTCTTACATTATTTTACAAAGTAAAGTAACAATTTGTGGCTACCTAACGTGTTGTTGTAAAATAATATTGAACTATTGCAATGTTATGGTTCTTTGTGTATTCATTTTATTTTGGGAGCTACCACTGAATGTGGCTTAGTAAAGTATTTACAGTTTTGATATTCCTAGCTGCATCGTGGATTGTTTAAGTATTAAATATTTGATTGTTTGAGATGGATGCCTAAAACGCGAACGCTTCTAATGAATAAGAGTCCCGTTGTGACTTGAAACTAGTAGAGCTATTCTCAATTAATTCACGTGAGCAAGTAGTTTCAGTATGTCTCACGATATTTACTATTGATAACATTTTAAAAGACGATTTATGTTTTATTATTATTATTCTCTTTATTTAACATATAAACATAATTTTACATTTTTAAATATTTCTTAATAAAATAAAAAAAACATTTAAATATATAAAAATTTGTGTCCCACCGGTATAGGGAACAGGGTCCAAGCTACCGGCGGTCAGGGCTCCAGAGAAAGGAACCTCCTGATAATAGGAGCCGTATCCAGGAGTACCGCTTACTGATTCAAGCCCTTTATTTCCAGCCACCTAACGAGAGCCTCCTAAGATATTGGTCGAGGTCGAGTTATTATTTACTTTGTTGATACAGACGGTAGTAGAAAAAAAGAATCAAGTATGTACTATACAAGGGATCCCTAATCTCTCGCCAATGACGATATCTTAACTACGAATGACGATATAAATAACACGCAATAAATCATAGCACGCGCCATTTTCCTCATCCATGACGTCACAAAGATAATGCCTAATCAGTGACGTAAATTGAGCTTACACTAAAAGCTACTAATCTTTTCACGTAATAATGATAACCTTTATAAGTAGGTATGGAATTTATTCATGAAAATATTTCCATAACACACCATTCATATTTAATAATAGTAACCAAATTCCCGAAGAGTTTTCAACTAGTCAAATTCAATACTTTTATCCAAATGTCAAAAACGATACTTTTCTATGAAATTCGTATGAAAAACTGAAAACTGAACTTTACTTATTTCTTAAAAATTAGCTAAAAATATCTAAAATTCAATGTATCAATCAATCGATTAATATAGTATAGTTATTTTTGAATATTTTATTGTATTGACACGTCGAATTAATTTATTTTTCACCTAGGAAACTACCTAATTCTATAATCAAATTAAAAGTCTTAACTTTTTTAAACAAAAAAAAAATGTTTGAAAAACTGACAATCCAGAAACACCCCCTAAATAACGATGAACCATAACAAAAATTACACCTATGTAATAAAGTTGAAATTACCTTGGCGTCATGATGTTGGGCGAGTAGGTCGGCTAGACGCGCGTCGTCGAGCTGGCGAGCCAACAAGCGACGCGGGTTGAGCAACCACAGGCGCTCGGGAGCCATGGAGTTCCACAGGACACACGGGAACCATAGCGCTACACCGATCTCCGCCAAACGGAACACCAAGTCGTGCCAGTTACGGGACACCACTGGGACTCTGGAAAACAAAAATTGATTTTATTAAGAATATGAAAATATAATAATTTATTAGTTTGTTGTTGCCTTCCGTTAAGCATAGACAGCCTGTATTGGATGACGCCGCTCTTCCATAAAGTTGTTAATATTATGCTTAGAACTAATAAAGTTGTTCTTAATTAAATATGATAATAATAAGTGTTAAGTGAAATAATAAGTGTTACTTAAATAAAGAAAAAAAATGTGTTTGCGTGTGTTTGTGTTTATATAGTTTTGCAACAGCAAATGTTCAAGGTCGCCGATAACCGCTGATAGCTTACATCGGTCATATTTAAAAATCATTGAAAAAGGCCTAAATACAGCAGTGCACATCCTTAGCTGATAGAATTTACTTTCTCTGCATGACGAGAGGCCTTTGCATATTAAGAACAGTTTACCAGCTGATATATATTCTAAAGAGGTTTTTAGAGTAACTAAACGAGTTATATTAAAGCTACTTTGATGTTTCAAATGTTGTTTATGGTTTAGTTGTGTTTATAAATGATTTTGACTTTTACTACAGTTCTTCAAGATTGCAAAAAAAAAAAACATTTATAAACCTCTACCTCTTAACAAATAAAGGCAGGAACAATTAAATCTTTAGAATACTATAAAAACCATTATTTATACTACTTCAACCTAACACTTTCAACAATAAACTAAACAATTTAATAGTACAACTCAAATAAAACTGAAAATATAAATAAAACTAGATTTAGACACGTTAAAACCATATTATTCCACATGTAGCATGCCGAATAGAAAAGAAACGTCAATCAAAAAAAGAATATATTTGAATCTAACAAAATATACCTATTTCAATAATAAGGTTCAATTTTCAAAATACCCTATTTTACAGTAGTTAGTTCAGTTTTCTATTAAATATGCGATGTGTATTATACTAAATTATTAAATTAAAATTATAAACACATAACTTTAAATTAATTAACAAAATAAATGGCTTCACGTTTCACAGAGTGCGCGTGCGCACCTCCGTTAATAGAAGTCTTTGGAAAACTTTGTAAAATTGTGGGTGTGTGTGTGAGTCAGTGCACAATGCCGTGTGTAATAAAGTGCTTCCCTTAATTGAGGATAATGAGGGAACATGATGAACCTAATAAGTCATTTGGGCCTTGACTTTGATCTTAGGATATATGTAGGTCGAGGTCAAATGTTGTCTGGAAGAAATTTTGTGTGATAAGACCGCCCATTGTACACTCTGTAGATGTAAGCCAGCTCTTTGTAGAATTTTTTATAGTGTGTACAATATATGTATGTATAAAGTATATCTTATTAAAAATGAATTGCTGTTCGTTAGTCCCGCTAAAACTCGAGAAGAACTGGACCGACATGGCTTATTGCGGTCTTGAAATATTCCCGGATATACAGGGAAGGTTTAAAAGGTCGGAAAAATTACAAGGTTTGTTAAAGAGAATGGAGGTGGTACGGAGTTTGCCGAGTCAGACAGTATATAAATATAAATAGGTCAGCTGTCAATTTTATAGTTTGAAAACCATTGTTTTTAAATGGGATGTTTGTGTTAATTGTCCGAGAGCCACGCTTCGGGACGAATGGGCGGGGTCACAGATATTTTTTGAAATAAAGTACATATAAAATAAATGATTTAATATTGTGTATGTTTATTTTATTGAATTCCTTGTAATTTACTCCTAAAGCTTTATAATGTGCACGACAAGAACATTTGGGTAAGATACTGTCCAAATCAGATAATAGTACTGGCTAATGGCTAGTTGAGAGCATCGCTATTAAGAATTATGACATTTTTAAAGGATCAGCCTATAACAACAAAAAGTTTCAGAATTAAAATATCTTAAGTGACTCACTTGGTTTTCCAGAACTCGCTGAGGGTCTCAGAAGCTAGGAAGCCAGCGATGAGGATAAGCATCAGGGCCTGGCTGATGAGGCCAAAGCGCGACTGGTGCAGCTGCGACACGTCCACGGAACGAGGGTCTACCGATCCATCCGCTGCCAAGTCCGTTTGTATACCCTGGAGACGAAGATTAAGAACATTAAATAAATCAGTTTGGTCGAAACTATGCATCTTTTAAATGACTTTTTGCAATTGTAAGAAGTTCTAAATGTTTCTAGAACGTTTTTCTCCATAAAAAACTAAACTGGGATTTCGGACGAACATCTACTTTCACTGACGCTGACGTATGGATTGATGGAAGAACTTTATTTGAACGTTTCAAAAGTGCCTTTTATTATTTTCGTCACACCTTGTATCATAACATCATAAACATATAACATACAAACAAGCCAAAGTAACTATCCAAATCGAAACACGATGATGACATCGATTACCTAGGCCACGGCTCGGCGAGCCATCCCCCCTTCTTTCATAGCGTTTGCCTGGTTTTATATAGCATATTAATATTTTTTTATAAGATAGGGCAGCAAACCAATGTTCTGATGACCTGATGATAAGCAATCGACGTCGCCATAGGGCAACCGTAACACCAGACTCATTATTAATGCTTTGCCGGCTCTTTAGAAGTTAGGCACTTGATGATCTGGTTTATTCGGGGATAGGGGAGGATTGTGCCACCATTACAACTCCCTTACACAGCGAAACATAAAGCAAGCGTTTCACTTGTAAGACTTTATAGAATCACTCTCGCCGAAGTACGGCTTTGACACGCCCTACAGATTTTCAAGTCACTAAAACCGTCCTGGTGGCCAACACCATCCCCCCTCCATAATAGCCCTGCAGCGTACCAAAGGATTACAGTTCACACGGCTTAGACGCACTTACGCCTTGTCATAATAAGCAAACACAAACAAAACAGCATTGTACTTTTGAATGAATGTTTTATAAATGGAACGCGTACATCCATTGTTCGATATTTAAAAAACGGCGTTAGCGGTTAGACGGATGAGAGGTCGAGTTGTCTATGTGAATTCTTCGTGAGAATAAAGAAAGAAAGATGAAGGTATTAATACTCATATGTATATCTACGCATAAACCAAGAATATGTTGTAAGTTGTACGCATTCTAGAACAATATTGAATGTAAATATTATGCATATCAAGGTCTATTATTGTTTGAAGGAGCTAGCCGAGTTTAACAAAAATATTATTAATATTTTAGACACAATAAGCATAGTTATTGCAGATTATAGTGCACCGGGGTTTTTTGAGACGTTATAAAATGACGTCACCCGCCCTGGGTGTGAGAGTGAGATTCTCGCTAGCTAAAAACCACCCTGTTATAGTCCGAGAATGACCGCTGTTTTGCGCTTAACCCGCAACCTCCATCAAAATGGCAAAATAACATTTTCCACCAACATATATTATAACCAAAACGAACTAGATCCTTCTAGATTGTAGGCAAAAAGTTAATATTTACACGATAACATCATAAATACGAAATTTTGGACAGATGTTTATTAATCAATCTCCTCAAACAATACGTATAATGACATTAATTAAATAGTGGAGAAATTAAGCATCAGTATTGCACTCGTGCGATTCGCGCGCGTATGTACAAGGGTCGCTAGTAATCCAAACTAGTATTATAAATCAAAAGTAACTCTGTCTGTATGTCTTTTCTTCACTCCTAAACTAGTGAACCTATTTGCGTGAAATTTGGTACAGACATAGTTTGAAACTCGAGAAAGGACATAGTAGGATAGTTTTTTAACCAAAAATCTGCAGGTAGTCACTATTCCACGCTAGCAAAGTCACGTGCAAAAGCTAGTAGTAAGTATAATATAATAAAGTGAGAACAATATACGTACGATTCGTACCTGTTTGGTGACGAGCGTGTCTTGTACGTCATCGCCATCGTCTGCGCTCGACGGCCCCGGACGGGGCGATATGATCGTGCATACTTTGGTCTCCTTCAGGAACTCGCCGCGGAGCTGAGAACAAAACAGAAGATTAGAAACACAACATAGATTAAAAAGAAATCTGAAATTTTAAGAAAAAAATCGAACTATATAATACTGGCTATTCTCGCGTGGTTTCACCTGCCTTTCCATTTGATCGTAGTGTGATGTTTTATAGCCTGTAGCACTCAGGAACATTGTAACTATCTATCAGTGAAAGAATTTTGGCAATCCGACCAGCGGTTCCTAAGATTACCCCCTACATACAAACTTAAAAATTTTACCTCTTATTAATATTATATAAATATGATATAGTATTAATCGTTATAACTTATAAGTGACCATAAGCGTCCTATTACTGTCTACTGCTAGGCAAACGTCCCATACACTGAGAAGGTTTGAGCATTAATCACCAAGCTTACTCAAGACAAATTGGCGATTTCAAACTTTCAGAAGTAGCTTTTTAATATTTTAATAGGCAATTTGACGAATTTCAGTCTCATTGAACTCGATTTATATTATTTCTTACTGAAAGATACTTATAAAATATGTCCCTTATTTTTATAGTTCTATATTGTTTCATATAGTTAAATGTTTAAGAGTTTATATTGTGCTCATCAGATATAATCAGATCATCGCATATTCGATACTATTTTATTATACAGATAAAGATAATGTTAGACACTTGACAGATGATAACTTTCGTGAGACATTCTAAATTATTTATCATTCCATATTCATGAGCAGCATTCCGCGACACGCGACTCGGCGACTGTCGCGCTGCTACTGTCAGGGCGACAGTCACCGAGTCGCGTAATATAAGCCATGGTAGAGGAATATGGGCTTCTAGTATGGCTTGAAACTAGTCGAGTATCTCGTCAAATTATTACGTGAGTAAGCCGGAAACATAATAAACTTGACAGATGAATTTAAAATTACGTTAAACTGTTAAAATGTAAAAAAGCTAAAAAGGTTGTTTCAACTGAAGCATATACAAGTACTGAATTGTTTAACAATCTCACTGATACATTACGTAATACAATATTGTAAATATAATATGAGAAAGGTGCAAACATTGCGACACGCAACAAGATAAAAACAAACAACCGAATCAATTCCTCGACATTAAATTTCAAGTAAGTATTTCATCGTCTCTAACAAGATGCGAGTGCAAAAATGTATGAAGTATCTTCTACCTTGTAGGTATCAATGAAACAATGAGACGTTTAACCAACATTTCATGGAATTAGCACGTAGCGGAGACACCATAAACGTATGCTGGAACAAACATGGCGCTGATGGCACATAATCTGCCAACGAACAGACAATGGGACATTATAACCAAGTACACTTGCTGCAAAAATAGATACCAACTTTTCAGGGTAGGTCAACTATCAGGAAACATTGTTGAAACAATTGGAATGGCGACAAAAAAAAGTTAGTTTAGACACATTACAAGTACAAGATTTAAGATTTATCCATATTTTTTTCTACCGAAGGGCTGAATTTTCAATAGTCAGATAAATGTTATCAGAGGAATAAAATTGTTGCTGTCACTGTCGTATTCAAACATTCTGACGCGACAGCATCATAATTATTCCGCAGATAACTTTTATCTAAACATTGAAAAATCAGCCCGATATCAAATACTTTATTTTTCTACTTCGTGGAATAACCTACATAAGTTTGACAGCCCTATTTCCTAAGTGAGTGAAGGCTAAAATAAGGCTGTACAACCTTGAACGTGAGAAGCTGCTCAAGGTTTTAAAACATTAAAAGATTAAAACGATATCTATTGTTACCAACAGCGTATACAATGTGGAAGAATTGAAAAAGAATCTCCTTCGATGGAGACATATTAAAAGAATAATTTGGTCTTAAGTACTTCTAAGTAATCGTATAGTACGGATCGCTTGATGATAAGCAATAGGCGCAACCCATGGACACCGAGGTCGTGGTGGCCCGGAGGTTAAGGCGCCTGCTTCTAATGCATAAAGGTTTTTATTGTGAGGGGAAAATCATCAAATGACTTCTCCCGAGGGAGTGTCAGACTCTTACTGACTAAACCCCCCCCCCCCCCGTTCCTTCTCCTGCTCTGGGCCGAGGTCGCGGTGCCTCATTGCGCTTACCCCGCAACCCCGGCTGAACATCAGCTCTATAGGACTCCGTCTGTGGTGGTCTATTGCCTCTTTGAGGCGCGCACGGAACGCTGCGCGCCGTACGCTCGGGTCTATCACCACTGACATACGGTAAAGGAAAACATCGTGAGGAAACCTGGACTTATAATTTCTAAGTGTAAGTTTTCTGTGAGATCGTGGTATCCTGTCCTACACTTTTGTTAGGAGAATTTATTTGAACAAGTTTTACAGTACATATATTTAGTACGGCCGTTACAAAAGCTACTTTTTAAACTATCTCCTCTATTTAACATGCTACGTAGCTCATACACGTGCCACTACGAATTTACAATTAACATGTACGGACGAGTAAAAATTACGAAACCTATGTTACTTGGTATGACACAATGAATGTAATTTATAAGCCCCAGTGTAACATACTTACATACTAATGAGAAAAAATACAACGAGGTCTAAGGACAATGTATCGTATCTTCTTATAGTTGGAAGAGAAATTGATGAGTCTTGTGACAAAATTTTAAGCATGTGTAGGATTTTTTTTTTGTAAATTAATTCAGTAACCGTAAATTATTTACTTGGTAAATTATCGGCATATGTAGGTAAGTTGTATTTAAATATGATGGTTTAGATTTGGTTATTTTATTAATAACAATAGAGAATTTTCAAAAATTACCTACTTATAAACACCACTAAGAACTGTAAAGAAAAGCATCGTGAAGAAACCTGAACTAAGAATTTCCAATTATAAGTTTGAAATTGATTTTCCGGATCGAGTAAGTGTTGTTATTAATGCCAAAACCGTCTCCGCGAAAAGCACGAAAGATGCTTTTGGGCACTTATAGGATGATGATGATAAATATTCCCCGAAAATAGCCTGTACGCTACCTTTAAAACATTAGAACGCCTTATAACAAAAGAAAAACATATTTCTCTGCGCTAAAAACAAAACACGAGCAAAGAGTCTTATACTGATAACACTAACATTTGTATATAAACTCAATAGTTCTGCTTAGTACCATTATACATAAAGGCTGAAGGAAAGTATAGTCTTTTCTTACCTTAAAATAAACTTCAACTCCGTAGATAAGGAAGAAAGTCACCACGATGAACAGCAGGACGGCGTAGCAGCCGTTGAAGACGTGCTGGTAGAAACTCTGGAACAATACAGGTCTTTTAGAATGTCATCACTCAAAAGTATTCAAGTAATAAACGCCAAACTGACTCCACGGTTGGCGCGATGGCTGGACAACTGGCTGCCGCGCAACGTGTCGCGGCTTCCATCCCCGCACGGAACAACTCTTTGTGTGATCCACAAATTGTTGTTCAGGGTCGGGGTGTGGTGTGGTGTTTATGAGAAATTGTATGTTTGCAAATGCACCCATGGTACAGGAGAAAATCCTAGAGTGGGGGCAACGTTTAAAAAAAATGGAAAAAGAAATAAATATTAGGCTAATCTGCAACATTGCAATTGTGTAGTTTCCTAGGTCAAAAGTAAATTATTTTGATTGTTCAATACAATGAATTATTTAAATTTGATAACTTAAAAAAAAATATGCTTTTTGACTTATGTCAAGACACATTATGACATCATACCAAATTCATTAAAATCATAATTTTTGGCATTACCTAAATCGACAGTTTTCTTTAAATATATTTGCTGGGATTGTGTACAGTGACGTCATGGTCAAAAATCTGTCAAAAGGTCTCTGATCTTGTAAAGCCATACTAATGTATATCAAATGCCAGAAAGAGAAAGAAATATTTCCAATTTTCTACTAACAGGGTACCTACATGACTTGTACAGTTGAAAATAAACATAATCCACTTTTCAATACAATCGAATATTTAAAAAAAACCGCATGAATTGATTGTAAGACATTCATAATAAGTATGCTATTTGACGCAAAAAAAACATAAAGTGACAACACAATCCCCTACCTACAGTATCAATGTCGGTTTTGACACTAGTTGTCAAATTAAAATTTGTGAAAAATACTAATTCGCATACATGTACGTATTATAATAACGAGAAATCTTTTATGATATGTGTGACACATATATTATTATTCTCCTTGACCGAATCAATTATATTTTTTTTTATATAGTCATATTTTTTAGTCATAACTGTTTCTCAAAATAAGTGCGATGGCAACCAATATTTTATAGGGCATTCTCTAATGTACGATTTGATACAGTTTTGTTAATAATCTTGAGACGATAGTTTGGTCTCGTATTATTCGGTCTACTTCTCGCATGCAAGGTTACGGTAAGTAAGTAAGTTTGATAAAAAAAGTATTTATTATTTAAATGGACTTCAAAATCTCTTAGTCAAGACCGATATTATATTACAATAAACCCACCTGCCTCTTAATTGTTTAAGATCCATAAGATACTTATCTCTAAGTATATCTTAAGAAATGAAAATCAAAGTAATTCAAATCTTCAATATTCTTACCTTTTCCTTCGGAGACGTGCCAGCAACATTCGTGGTAAGAACTTCAGCTGCCAGCAGCGAGTAGCTGATGAAGTTGAAGGTCACGAAAGCGAGGAACGACTTCGATAGAAACCTGGGCCTCTCCCAGCGGATGTCGCGAAGGTGGAATACCTGGGGACAAGAGGATAATACATTTAAGATTTCATATCGTATTATAATCATTGGCCGTTCTTAAACATTAATTTGATGAACATGAGGATGAACAACCGAATTAAAGCCCTGAAAAATCTTTAACAGACCTCGTTGGGGAGATATTTATACAGTCAAGAATCACCTAAGAACATTGAAAAATCGTTTTAATAAGTGTGACGCTTGTTTAGAACCTATTGTAACATTTCTCTGCATCACCCTTACAGATGACTGGTAGAGAATGCCTTTCAGCATTAAGTCCGCCTCAGTACGTCTTTACGTCTATAATAAAGAGGTACAATTTTTAAGTTTGTATGTAGGGGGTAATCTTTAGAATCGCTGGTCGGATTACCAAGATTATGATAGATAGCTACAATGTTCTTGACCACTATAGGCTATGAACCTACACGCTACGATTAAATGGAGCTGAGCAGCGGGTGAAACCGCGCGAGAGTAGCTAGTATCACATAACGTGTTAAAGGAAATGAAAGGGGCTTAATTTCCTATCCTCAAGGAAGCAATGGATCTATAGATACACTATCAATTAAGTACTCATCAAACAACACATGTAAAATCTTTCTTCACAACACTGGTCAAACCCAGGAATAATTAAAAACATGTCACGAGTCACGACTGTCAATAGCTGTAAATGTCATTATTATGTAAAAGAAACTTGACTCAGAATGCGACACACGAATCGTTTTACATATAACCATAAACTGTTAGACAATTATGTCATTTGTATAACGCGTGTGAACTTGGGTTTTAAGTTAGAACTATATTTAGAAAAGTGATTTTTTTTACAAAAGGTTTTACCGTCATTATTTTTACTTCAAAGAAGGAGGAGGTTCTCAATTCGATGCGTACCTATTTTTGTTTTTTTTTTATGTATGTACAGCGATTACTCGAAGACGCCTGGACGTATTTGCTAAATTCTTTTCTTATTTGATAGGGTATACTTGTCATATCAAACCTCCTCGCTTAGCCTTAATTCTCACGCTTGGGTCGAATTAAGGATGGTTATTGCCTACTATCCTCAAGAACTTAGAATACAGTCGAAAGTTTGGAATCAGGACATATTAGAAGGGTAAGATAATGTTTTACAAGAAAAACAGCACATTTGGTGAAATCTATTTAAAAAGTCACATTTGCGTATCTACACTAATATTATACAGGTAGAATTTGTAAGTTTGTATGTAAGGGGTAATCTTTGGAACCGCTAGTCGGATTACCAAAATTCAATCACTGATAGATAGCTACAATGTTCCTAAGTGCTATAGGCTACGATCAAATGGAGCCGAGCAGCGGGTGAAACAGCGCGAGATTAGCTAGTCCTTAATAAAAAAACTGTTTTTTTATAGAACAAAACGTACAAATACAATGTAATCGCAATAAAAACCACCGATGGTATCAGAAGATGTCCTATTTATGATAAACCTCAAAGTACACAGATCTATTACAAAATTACTTATGAATCAATTATAATTACTTACTACAAAAACTACTTAATAACACATTAACACGCGAACAAAAACATTTAACTAGACAACTAAAACAAGTAAGAACATATAAACGCTTGTTAATTATTTAATTATCTACCGTTTAATAATACCGTTTAATAAGGCTCGCTTTGGCGCCCGACATCACTCTTATAAGACACTACTCCTCCTGAGTCACTTCACCCACTGATCGGCTCCTAATGATCGGATAGGGATGTTTAAGCAAATTGCCGTGCTCACCAAATGGATGATCGAACAAATCCAACCAGTATTGTTTTTTCGTTGCCCCAAATTAAGATTGTCTCTTTTGTCGTAGGTGCGTTTACAAACATACAATTTCACATACACACACACCCAGACTCGGAACAACAATTTCTGGATCACACAAATAGTTGTTCCGTGCGGGAATCAGTTTATCCGGGAAAACGTTCAACCAAACAAAAATATTCTCAGCTATATACTTTTATGTATTTAGTTTGGTTACCTGGTGGTACCTTTTAGTAGTTAATTACTTTTACTATGGTTTGTATACATACATAAATTAATTCGAAACTTATCCATATCATTTTCTTGAAGAACTGAAAAAGGAATATTAAAATAACTTTAATCGAAGTCTCATATATCTCAGTGTTAAAACTTAACAAGATCAGATTATGCGTTTAAGATTTACAAGTAGTTGCAAGTCCAAATGTGAGTATAAACATTAACTAATTGAGATATAATTATATCTAAGAACAGTGTTAATGTACCGACATTAAGAAAGTACTTAATGTATTTATAGTATGTTTTATTGACAATACATTATTTGCATTCATATACTATCGATTGGGAATGTCTTCACTCACTTAGATAATATAAAGTATTTCCACTAATTAAATTTATGATCTATCTGTAGGTAATATATTACATCTTATTCCGTTCAGTAGTTTCGAATGGCAAAACAATATTGTTACGAATACTATTAATTAGGATCGTATCCCAATATGTAATTGCATTTTCTGACGAGGCGGAAAATCATATTCGAACTCCTTTTCCAGACAACATAAAACGACTGACAGACTCCTATAAAATGGGTGTACTTCTAGAAAAGCGATTCTTTCACAATATATATAATAGGTAACCTATTCCAATATCTATCCATAATATATACTTTAATATTATAAAGCTGTAGTTAGTTTGAACGCGCTTATCTCCGAAACTGCTGGTTCCAATTGAACAATTTGTTTTTGTGTTTGTTAGTCCATTTATCAAGAAAGGCTCGCTATGATCTGTAGGAGCTGAGCAGCGGGTGAAACCGCGTGAGAGTACTACGTAGTTAATAACAGGCGAGATAATGTTATTAAACTAGAAACAAAGGAAACTAGCCTGTTAAACAATGACAAATGTCATAGAATTAGCAACAGGAATCGTCTTATGATAGCCTCCAAGCACCTATCAGCGCGAAAACAATAAAACTAAGTGCTGGATAAGGACGGCGATGCAATTAAATATAAAATTAATACGTCTACTTACAACCTTTGAATACACACTGCTTAATTGTAACTTTTTCGTTGTGAACAAACAAGTTTAATGTTTTGTTTGTTAGTAGGTAGGTTGGTGTTTATTGTTATAAAATTTGTAGTTTTTTTTATATGTATTATAGATCGGCAAACGAGCAGACGGATTGCCTGATGGTGAGTAATTGGCGCCGCCAATAGACACCCGCAACACAAAAGGAGTTAGGAATGCGTTGTCAGCCTTTTGAGGATGTGGGGTTGGGATATTTAAAGATTGTTAAGGTTCCTCACTCACACGGCAAAACACACTGATTATGATTCCACAGTTTGGTGTGTTGCTAATTATGACATGTGCTGTGCTTTTTCTTAACATAGTATAATATACAGAGCGATGTTAGACCAATTCTAATCATTCTTTTTTTTTTTGTTATATTTGCTAATGACATGAAAAGACTATTACAAAAGATTATAAAAGACTTTTCTAAGACTTTTCTTTCTTGTAAAAAATAATTACTTACATAATAACTAACACCTAGGTAGTTTGACATCCACTCAAAACAGGATAATTTCTAATTACTAGGCACCTACATACTTATATCTATCGATGTTTTAATATTCCATTAGTAACATTAGTATACAAGTGCATTAACGATTTCTATGACCTTCGGAAAATCCGCTCCCTCTGCTTATTACACGATCGATATAAAGATTAATGTAAGAATGTTTGGGTATGTGTGTTTCGGTTACTTTTTCAAGCAAAAACAACTAAACTAATCTTCAAAAACAAATTCACATTCTTTATTAGCATTCCATGCGTTAATAGGCATGTAAATTTTAGGGATTAGTCTCAATAATGTAGGGCTGATTTTTCAATGGTTAGATAAAAGTTTCCTGGGGAATAATTATGATGCTGTCGCTTCAGAATGTTTGTATAAGACAGTGACAGCAACAATTTATTGATCAGATAACATTAAATGACTATTAGAAAATCAGCCAAACCAAAAACTCAAAAGAATTTAATAATATCAGTTTTGTTCCTTGTCAAATATCTAAAGTCACTTAGTCTCAGTTTGAGAAAGAAAATTGCCGGTTTAGGTATTTTTCACGAATTTTTTTCACGTTTATTCACCGTCATAATTCAAGATCAAAATTATCCAATTCGGTCCAGTCGTTCTCGAGCTTAAGACTGAGATACGAGAAATTGTATAGTACGCCTAGTTAGATGATATATATATGTATAGAGAATAATTCGATGTCACCTAACGTTATTATTAAAAATGTTATCAGGAAATATTTTACGCTTTTCGAATTAACAATAATTACAGTTATCAGACTCATATACTGAACTTTTTTTTTTTTTTAAAAAAAACGACTTTAACGACCTTATTACAAAACAAGGTTTTACTTTAGTCTAGGACTAAACCATTGAGCCAGTTTTTGTATTTCGAATTGAAGGTAGATGACAATAAGATTCAAAATTCAAAACCCGACTCAATGGTTTAAACCTGGACTACATATAAACATTCTTTTGTAATAAGGAGGTAAAGGTTTTATATCGTAAAGAATAGAGGCGACTCTATTAAAACATTGTTACAAAGGATATCAGTGACTATCTAGTGCTAAAATGAATACGTCTAGGTATTTCTAGGCTATATATAGAGCTAATTTACGACAATTTAATTTTATTATTGCACTTAAATTACTATTTTATGTCCATACCCTTATAATACTCATGTTTCTGTACCTCGTAAATTCAAATTTTTAGATTAGGTCATGGTTGAGAAATAGGAATATAATTTCATGTACGTTGATCTGAATTGGTCTTTTTTGACATGATCTTAAGTAAAGTGATGGCCAGAACACTCGAACCTACATCACTTAATAATATAAATTACCTTATTTATATGTATCTAAATTATATGTATAATTACAACTATACTGTTTGGAAATTTGATTTTTAACGATCAATTTTCAATTTCACTTTTATTGAAATCATACCTTCAAGAAAGAAAAATTAAAGTACAAGTCAACAAAGTTAACTCACTGGGTGCTAGCGTATCTATGGGCGTACCGCAGGGCTCAATATTAGGTCCTTTTCTATTTTTAGTTTATGTAAATGACCTGCCCCATATGTTCCAAAATGAACCGCATATGGTATTATTCGCTGATGACACTTCATTGATTTTTAAAATAAATAGACGAACAAACAAATATGACGAAGTTAATAATGCCTTAATGAAGGTTCAAAACTGGTTTACAATAAACAACTTATTACTAAATGATAAAAAGACTAAATGCATTAGATTTATTTTACCAAATGTTAAAAGTAACGTATGTGATGATATATTATTAAATGATCAGAAACTAGAATTTGTAAAAGAGACTACTTTCCTGGGGATCACTGTAGATGAGAAGTTGCAATGGGGGCCCCACATCAGGTCTCTAGCAGGACGATTGAGCTCTGCAGCTTATGCTGTCTGGAAGATCCGTCAGCTAACCGATGTAGGCACGGCAAGACTAGTGTACTTTAGCTACTTTCATAGCATCATGTCGTATGGAATTCTGTTGTGGGGACAGGCATCTGACGTTGAGTCTATCTTTATCTTGCAAAAGCGTGCCGTCAGAGCTATATATAACTTAGGTCGTCGCGAATCTCTCAGAGAAAAGTTTAAGGAGATCAACATTCTGACCGTACCGAGTCAATTTATTTATGAAAACATTATGTATGTTAGGAAAAACCTACACTTATTTGTAAAGGTATCTGACAAACATGATTATCATACTAGACATAGGAATAGATTGAGTCAGCCTTTATTTAGATTGGCAA